CTGGAGAGAGACGAGGGGTATCTACCCAAGACTTTCCCTTCCCATCGGGTTGAAGTCCAACAATACTCGGGGTATCACCAAAGGGTTCGTCGCTAGCTCTTGATTTCCCCTTCAAACTTCAAATCTGGAGGTCTAGACGGTTCAACGATATCGGTAATCGAGGCAGGTGCGTCCACGTCACCGGGTATATTCGCTCGAGCTGGAGAAGGAGACGACGCTCTGCTCGCACTGGGATAATGTCGACCTGACGGTGACCAGGATATCGAACGGACAGGCGAGATGTCATCTTTGCGCCATCTGGAATCTCGAAGCGATGACGGTGCAAGGTGGTTGCAGGGAGTCGGCGAGCTGGATCTGGACCTGGGGCTCCGGTGAAGGTGTTCGTCTGAGTCTCGCCATCGTCTTGGTCTCTGTCGTGGCGGAGAGCTGACATGGGGAGGCGCATCGTACTAGTCAAGTTGTTGTGAGTACACAGAGAGATATGGACAGCATTGTGATTGCTCACCTGGACAACGCTGTCATACACGAAGAGGTCTTTGAACGGCGACCTGACATACGAGTAGACCTCTACTCTCTTCAGTAAAGAAAGCTCCGCAGAAACAAAAGGCTACTCACCATGTGCAAAATGCTCCGCCATAACCCTGCCACCCGTATGAATGTCCAAAAATCCCGCCAATAGCTTCACAGCCGACTTGGAGGGTATATCAATTGACTTCATGAGAGATATCGTAAATGTCGTGAAGAACTATACTCCTCCTCAGTCTCCCACACAACACAAGATACCAGGTAAGACACGTACCTCTACGTCAAGATCATCCCACACCCGCAACTCGCGCCGCAGAAACATAGTCGTCTTGCTCAACATCTCCTGGCTCGCAGCGAACTGCGCTGGAGTGGGGTACAGCCTGTACTTTTTATAGGGCCAGGAGAATTTTGCGAGCGACACTTGCGAGTTGCGTTCAACTGCGGTTCATTTGCGTTCAACTCAAGTTGAATTGCGTTCGCTTGCGTTTAACTTGCATGCATTTGCGCGCATATGGATACGTTTGTTTGCGTGGCCTATGAATACTTATTGCTGTCTTAAAGACACTAGTAAACTCTGTCTTATCTTGAACATTTACTTACTGTTCCGAGTTCCTGGATATGTCCCACCAGGTCAATGTCGCTTACTATGACTCAGGAAAACCATTGAATAATATGAAAATGCTATAAAGGTATAGTTGTTGGCCACAAAAAGAGATCCCTCCATCACAGCGACATTTCATTTCGAAATGACTAAGAAATCTTACCCTTTTTTGAACTTGGCGGGATGAACAGGTTCTCAAACGAATGAAAACCTGCTTACGCATCTCACAAACATGTAACGCATGCATCCCAAAGTCGAACGCAAGCCTTATGTAGATGCACGCATGCGTTCTTGAAAATAACGCATGCGGTTGGAAATTAAACGCAAGCGAGCAACAGCGGCTCGCAATTGGCTCGCAAGTGTGACGGATGTGTGACATCGTGTAACATTTGCGTTCGACTCGAGTTGAACCGTCTTAACTGTTGGTCACTTCTGATATTTCTAAGCTATCGGCATCTAGTCATCACATATTGGCTCATTTCATATTCCTATGATATACCTGCTATTGAATTTGACCCTCTCTGACCAGCAGCCAACATTTGACTTACCTTCTTTAACTTCTTTCCTCCAAGTCTGTTCATGCCTTATGCCAATGTTCTTGGGATTAGACCCTTCTATCGACAACTTTTAAAATAAATTACTGATTTACCGGATATCTCAGGTCAAGAATCGCTTCATAGCTTGATTTTTCGGCTCTTGAGTTTTAGTTTTGAACTTTGAGAGAGCATCACCTCAAAAAAACCTTCAACTTTCTGGTCTTTGTCAAAAAGTATTATATCTCTCTGCATCTAGCAGCACTGACTAGATTATGGCGCTATTTTTATACAAGAAATCTCAAGAAGGTCTTTGTCACGCTCGCACGCGCAAATGCAAGCGTGACAATCGCATGCGAGAGAACGCAAACGCATGCTCGCAAGTGTGCTCGCAAAATTCTACGTGCCCCTTTTTATAACCATTCGAGGCTACATGCTGCAAGGGAGTCAGATAGAACAAGCATAACGAAATTATTTAATGCACTTTGGCGTAAAGCCCATGCTCATACACCCAACGCCGTTTCTCTATTGACCCCTCCAGCTTATCCGCCTCGTCCTGGTCTCGTCTACCCCACTCCCTCCTACGCCTTCGTCTCCGCACTTCAGGCTCTTGGTTAGGCACAGCCCGTAACGGAAATAAACCCGGCTTCGAGAGAGGCGCCAAGTAATGCTTCTGATAATCGTACCGCGACCAGATCTGATGGATGAGGTACTCCCAAATTGTCTGAGTGCACAACGGGCACTTCCTCGATTGCTCTGAATCACGAATCATCAGCTATATACCCACCATATGCGAAAAGTAGGCTCGCCAGTCCAAACAACAAGACAGTCAAAACAAAACTCATGGGAACAAATGGGAATGACGGTCCGGTCTACGAGGGCTTGCAGGCATATGCTGCAGTTGTCTTCATCTTCTTCTGGTGGCGGCGAGGGCGACTCGAGCTTGATGCATTTGCGAGGAGGGCTAGCAAAAGAGCTCATGGACGGGAGCAAAAGGAAGGAATCACCGTGCTGACATCATCATTTAGAGGCTGATGAGAAAAGCTCACATGCCGATTAATAGCACAAGAATAGGTGCGTTACCTCAGTGCGAACTCATATCTCAGCCCAGTTCACCTTACTTTCACAGTCGCAAATTCGAGAAACAACAGTACTGCAAAATCGCTGAACAGCCGGAAATCCCCAAGCTCGAATAAATCCCTACCTGATAAGTCTCCGGTGAGCAGAAGCTGTTTCTTGCTCGCTAATACGTCCTGATACAGCCAGCAGAACGCAAAGCTAGGACTCAAGAACACGACCTAAATATGTCATTATTCCGTCTTCCGCTTGACGATCCCGCACCCAAATAGGAACTTCTCAAACTGTCTGAGGCTTTGGGACAACAGCCCGGCCCGATTCTGAACTAAAGTGAAATGCTCATAATCATAGGAATCACAACCAACAATCGGTACAACGACAATCTACCCTCAAATTTGGTCTATTATTTTGAGATGTCGGAGGTCATAAGTACATCTCCAGGTAGGCAAAACATGTCGCACTTTTCAGTGATCCTCTTCGCAGAAAGAGCTTCCATCTCAAGTCAGCTGGGACTTACGACTCCAGAATCCAAACCCGCACCTCCAATCAATTATATCCGCACCCAGGACGACTCCCCATCTCCAGAAGAAGGTTCTCGATATCCACCAGTCCGCGAAGAACTACCGACGCAGCTCACACTTCCATGAACTTCTTCAGCGGATCCGATGAAATGAATGGGATCACGCGAAATGCATTATACACAACGGAACATAGGTCGTTGCGGGAAGACGTGACGCAGGTGTCCCATCTTCATGCACCCACTGATTAATATCGAGGTAGCTCGGCGATTGACGCGTGGATGTCACCAATTATGATCATTGACAAAACACAAACTAAACTCAGCCGTTTAAGATCCCCTCTCATTCATCAAGGCAAGGATCAAACATTCACTTTTAAACATGGAGGATACGAACACCCCACGAGGTACGCAAAAATGCGCCTTGACCTCATCTCCATTCTGACAGCGGGATTCGTGTCATTTTCCTGTTTCTTCCTTTCTGTACAAGTACGCTTCCCCAAAAAATTCGAACTGGAAAATCTGCATTTCGGATTGCATAAACTAGCTTCCTTCGAACTCAAATATATCGGGGAGCGAAATATCGCATTTATTCCACAGCTGCAGATCCCTAAACTCGAACTAGTCTAATCACAAACCTACTAGAATCGCTTGCGGTTTGGCGTATAGCTAGGACTAAAGAACACGGCCCTCAGTCAAAATACGACTCATTCTCAAGCACCTAGGTTGGGGGTCGACAATCCACCCTGTTAGGTTGGATTCTAGACTAAAATGGTCTAGTAAGCAATACACTCTTAGTTGTAGGACCTACCGCTAATGATCAGATATCAAGCCTACGCCAATAGGACTGCGTCTCTGCCATCAAATTCGGATGCCATGGCACTTAATACACATCAGCTTCTTTTACATAATCCCAGTCGACTTTTCGTTCAACCATCACGTCCCTCGCACTAAGAATACAGTGCTACTTGATTTCAATCCTAAAATCCCCATTCTAGAACCAGAAGTTGGTATTTCTGTCTGTAACTCGGCGTTCCAGGTCTCATTGTGATTTCAGACATCGAAAAAAAGCCATGCTGAATAGTATACTGAAGAGACGGCATCTCCGCGAAGATAAAAAGTGAGCCTAGTCTTAATACATGACATGAGTATCCTCATAGAACTTTCCCTCAAAAGATCTTCAATAGTATCGTTGACGAATTGCAGGATGACACCACCGCTCTAAAGCAAATCTCCCTCGCATCAACGATCCTCTCTCCAAGGACACGCGTTCATCTATTCTCTTCCGCCGACCTATCCAGCCAGCCAGTCAGACTGCTCCCACCTCCGAAAACTAATCACCCAATGGTTAGCTTCCTCTCGCAGTGATATCAAAATCCGCGTTTCCGTTATCTGACCTCAATACGAATTCGGTCCCCGAAACAAGGTGCCCTCACTCAATGAGTGTATCTTGGTGTGCAGGTCGTATTTCTCCTGTCCTTCATATTCCGTGTGAATTCATTGTAAAGATCTCTCACGTTGCGCAAATCAACCTTGCTCACGGACACCGTACTAAGGGAGTAGTTAGCTCTCTCCTATAGTCATTTAGAGAGTCCAAGCTAAGACAAGCACCCATTCTTCTCTTGAATGTCTGAGTCTATTCCTTTTGAGAGTCTGGAAATGCGAAAACGAGCGCAAGAATAGATACGTCGTTTCGACGCAAAATGATATTGTGCCCAGTTCATGCTACTTTTGCCGTCGAAAAGTCGAGAAGACTTATGAACACCCGCAGATTCCAAAACTCGAACCAATCCCTACCCAACAGATCTCCGGTAGGCATTGACACAGCTGGTTCAACGCAGTCAAAACATGATTCTCACTCTCTCATTCACGCTTCTCATCGCATGTATGAACGATCCATCTAGATTTGCACGATCGCCGAAATACGAACTCTGAACTACAAAGGTTAAGTTTCACCGTGGCGGAGGATTGGGGACGACAATCTAGCCGTTCGTCTCGGCTCTAAAGTAAAATGGTCGAGTACTCAATGTGCGCAACTAACGATCAGCTACAACGACAGGACATCGTCTTTGCCCTTAAACCCGGTGTATTGACCTACAAACATACCATAACCGGTACGTGGATTAGCGTTCTTACTTTCTAACCGGGTAACAAGTCATTTCCTATTGTAGGCCCTTCATTGCGCATGAGATACACAGATGCAACACCATCGCTGATTCCTCGCCCTTGTATCCCAAGCCAAAATAAAAATACGACATCCTACTGCGCAAGTGTATACTCTGCTGTCGCATCATTGCCTTATAGTACATACAGGCCAAAGTAAATACCGTATTCTCGTCAATTCCATCTAAGTAAATATGATCTCAATGATCATGAACAAGCGTTGCTCATACGACTTCAGCCCTTTTTTCCTGGCTAATAAGGATTGCCCTATCCTCTTCTACACAGGTAACGCTGCCTTCCACTCCAGATATTGACAGATGCCTTACAGATAGTGGTTGCGCATGTGAACCGAGATCCGTCTTCCTCACAGAGGCAACGCGAAGGAGTATCAAAGTCGGAGCGATGCCCTATCCAAACTCGGTCAGAATGCCTCTTTTAAAATAACCCAATACTCACAGTTACAGAAGCCAGAACGACTTGCGGATAGTTGCTGTATGGACTATTCGTCGCAATGAATGGGATATAGACCGCCAGTACAACGGCATACAGCGCGGCAGATTCTACTATGATCTCCATAACTCGGTAGTACAGATTCGGCCCAAAACGTAGGGACGTCCTCGCTCGGGCAAGCCGGAATACGATGAGCGTTGTACATATAACCGTCGTGGAGAGCGTCATACTGTTGAACGCTATTCCCCAGTTGATGGAGCTGTTCCCCCAGGGAGTCGGTGACTTTCCCTGAGAATCTGTCGCTGGCGTCAGCTGCTCAATTAGAAAGAAAATGTCGAATACTGGGAGCAGTGAGTGATTCAATTTCACTTAGATTACATTCGAGTGACTTACTCGTTCCGCATAGCGTACACAAGGAAGGGAGTACGATCATCCTCCAGTTCCTATCCCAGATGATCCAGCACCTCCAAATCTAATTCGAATGCTGCTTTATTACCTTGGTCACCTGAAAGTCTGAGCGAGAACGTACAATGATGCAATCTGCCGTCAATATGTTGATGCCCCCGACGACGCTGCTGATCGTCGGGACCCAAAGTGGACCACCAGCGATGAGGGAGTCTGCGAGGGAATAGAACCTCGTTTCCTCTGTCTCTCCATTTGTGATGAACGCCCGCCTGGCATAGAACCACCTCACAGCCAAATGCACCGTAGCCAGGACATACATGAAAACCGAAATTCCAGCTAGGACCTTCGTCTGCCGAGAGGTGCTCGAAATTACTGATTTGACCTTTAGATCTCCATCACTCATCGGGTGACATTAAGGACGCACGTATTCGCCAGAGTACAACTCCAAGCAGGGCCGTATATATTCCTAGATCGCTTAGACGGTGGAAATTTTTGAAAAAGAAAAATCTCACCATGAGTTAGAGATTCGATGATAACTCCGTTGAACCAGGAGTCAGATGTCTGCAACGCAAGTACTTGAATTGAAGCAAAGCCTGGGTCAATCTGCGACATGGTGTGCTGGATTCCAGGTTACCAATAGCTCGCTATTGGGTTGTCTGGGAAAAGAGGGAGGTACTGGTTAAGTCAGGCAGATTTCCGGGGTTTATGAATGGGATACCACCCTGCGCAAGCATTGGTAAGACTACCATTGGTTCCATGCAGCTAATGTTAGTGCGCCTAATCGAGCTACAGAATACCTAAGATGCTGAGCGGAGCACTCCTATAGGAACATGATGAGACGTACGACATACCTTGTCTGTAGGAGAGATGCTTGATCGCTGGTACTATTGTCTATTTCGAGACAGATATGGATGATCGTGGCATGATTTGATCAAACACCCTTGCCCATCAACTCAATCATAGACGTCTCCCTCGGTGACATCGGCCCAATTTCCCTCTGTCTATCAATATATACTGGACTCTTGGAATCACCCATTGAACATGAAACTGATATGGTCATGGATTCAACCGAATATGAATCCAAAAGGCGCCTTACGTGACCAAACCGATGCATTACAAGTAAAGTCCTGGCGACTGCTATTAAGGATCGAAGTCCAAAGTGATGACCATCAACTGCCTATACAACTCAGCTGTAACTCATTCTACGTGACCACAAATTCCATAATCAATGCCAAAACATGTCAACGGATACCATGAATAATAATAAAAACCTGAACTGAAAAACTTCGACTCCAATGTCTGAATTGAAGGTGAATGATGAAACACTTTATCACAATTTGAAAACCAGGGTCATGGTGAATATAATATATGGAAGCATCCCCGAACAAACCGCAATTTGATTCCATAGCAATGATTATTTTTTCTGAAACACTATGGCCCACACTCGAGTGGTTCAGTATGGCAGAGTCAAAGCCATGGGCTAGAGAACTGCAAGTATGCATAACACCGCAGACTAACAGTACTGTCTACACTGTCTACATACCTGACACAGATATCTCGAGACAATTGGATATAGAGAAAGTACGGAATCAGGCATGGCTATTATCATCCTTCGTTAAAGTTATCATGTAGTGAGGTACCATGACAGTATGTTAAATTTATATATGGAAGCCACCGAGATGTAGCAAACATATAAAGCCACCGCTTGAAGATAAGAGCAGTTCATTATCACATAGACACGCAGGCACCACATCCTCTCTGTCCCACACAATAAACATCTTTGCATCCCTGGAGAATGCATTTCCACCACTCGATCACAATGTGGGCGATTGCCCTCATTATCTATGCCAATATCGTAAGTCCCTCATTCCTGTATAGTGCGACAAAGGAATCAACATTAGATAGATTGTCGGTGCCCTTCCAGTCCCAGAGCCATGCGGAGGGTATCCGTGCCTTGGTTTCGGCAACAGCGCGGCTTCGGATGTTGAAGCTTCTGAGTGAGTGAGGAATGTTCAAGGGTCGAAACGAAGGATGCGGATTGAATGAAATTTAAACTAGAGTATTAATGGCTGTTCTCATCCAGAATCATCCACTCTATTAATTACCTCCCCCGTACATTATCTTTCTGTTATGGTGATGATCTTACGGGTGTGAAATGTAGATGTTATGAATATCGGGTCGCGTCTCAACCGTTAATGATGCAACTCCTCACCCAGGACCTGGGGGGATCCAGTCCGCCTTCCGCTAGTCGATCCCGCAGAAAAACTGATAATCCTCTCCACAGTCAACATTGGCACGAGAAACACACAATTTATCGCCCAACGAGATAACTCGCAACCCCGGTAGACATCTCAACGCAGCACGTAGAAAAGAGATAACAAAAATGTCCTTTCCACCCACCCGGGACTCGCACATGCCGCCCATAAGAGGAGATTCGCGCACTCCGGCATCAGTCCTGTCAATTACATTCCATTCTCATCATTCTCCTTCCAGCAACCAAATTCCGCAGCTTTCCATCTCCATCCACGACGAAATAGCAAGACAATCACCGCCCCGCCCGTTTCTCAGCCGCAAGCCGGACCCTCACCAGCGCTCGAGTCTTTAGCTGACGTTCCACGTCATTTACTGGATTCGCTTGTCGAGACGCGTGCCTTCTCTCCTCTAGCAGCTTCCCCAATAAACGCGCCCTACCCTGCATGAGCGACTTTTCCTTCCCAGTGGTGACGGCACTTCATGATCCCGGCCCGGTGTTGAATTACCCAAGGATTGAGAGCCAGATGCATCGGCAGAGTTATCCCCCTCTTCTGATCATCATTTCTTGATGATAGCCGATTAAGCAAAGTCGGACTCGATGACGATGACTCTGAAGTCACACCCAAATGAGAACGTAAGGAGTCCAAGGCCGTACGGACGGGTTTCTTGGACTGCGGCCGTATGATTTCGGGGACGTTGGGGGGTGCCGGTGAAAGACGAGATGTATCTTCCCTAGACTTGCCCTTCACATCGGATTGAAGTCCAACATTACTCGGGGGTAGCACGAAACGGTTCGTCAGTAGCTTTGGATTTGCCCTTCCCGTCGGAAGGTCTAGGAGGTTCAATGAGATCGATAGTCGAGGCAGGTGTGTCCACTTCATCGAGTATAGTCACCCACACTGGGGAAGGAGACGACACTCTGCTCGCGCTAGGGTAATGGCGACCCGAAGGGGACCAGGATATCGACCGGACAGGAGATACGTCGTCTTCGCGCCATCTTGAATCTCAAGGTGATGTCGGTGCATCGTCGTGGTTGCAGGGGGTTGGTGACCTAAATCTGGATCTCCGGTGAGGATGCTCGTCTGCCTCTCGCTATCGCCTTGGTCTCGGTCTTGGCGGACAGCTTATATGGGGAGGCATATCATACTAGTCAAGCAGTTTTAGGTACAGGGAGATATATGAACGGAACTGTGATTGCTCACCTGGATGGCGCTATCGTACACAAACAAGTCCTTGAACGGCGACCTCACATACAAGTAAACCTCTACTCGCTTCAGTAAAGAATGATTCGCAGAAACGAACGGCTACTTACCATGTCCAAAATGCTCCGCCATAACCCTACCACCCGTATCAATGTCCAAAAACTCTGCTAGCAGCTTCACAGCAGACTCGGAGCGAATATCGATAGATTTCATGAGCGATATTGATATTGTGAATGTCGCGAAAACTATGCTCCCAGTTAGTCTCCCACACGACACAGATACCTTGTAAGATACGCACCTCCACGTCATGATCATCCCACACCCGTAACTCACGCCTCAGAAACATCGTCGACTTGCTCACCATCTCCTGGCTCATAGTAAACTGCGCCGGAGTGGGGTATGGCCGGTATTTTGTATACCCATTCGAGGCTACGTGCTACGAGGGAATCAGACTGCACAAGCATAACGACATTTAACGTACCTTGGCATAAAGCCCGTGCTCGTACACCCAACGCCGCATCTCTATCGACCTCTCCAGCTTATCTGCCTCGTCCTGATCTCGTCTGGCCCATTCCCTCCTACGCCTTCGTCTACGCACTTCAGGTTCCCGATTAGGTACAGCACATAACGGCAGTAATCCCGGTTTTGATAGAGGGGCCAAGTAATGCTTTTGATAATCATGCCGTGAGCGAATCCGATGGATAAGATACTCCCTGATCGTCTGAGCATACAACGGACACTTCCTCGATTGCTCTGAGGGATCAATATCTCAATCATCAGCCACAACTACACCGGAAAAGAAAACCCCGCACCAGTCCAAACAACGAGACAATCAAAACAAAACTCATGCGAGCAAGTGGGGATAACGGTCCGGTCAACGAGGGACTGCAGGCATATACTGCAGTCATCTTCCTCCTCGTCTTGGGCTTCTGGTGGTTGAGAGTGCAACTCGAGCTTGATGCGTTTGCGAGGAGGACTGGGAGAGCTCATGGACGGGAGCAAAAGGAAGGAACGACCTGCTGATGTCATCATTTAGGGGCCGATGACCAATCTCATTTACCGGTTCGGAACGGTGCCGGACTCAGGTTACTGCTCGCGCTGCTTTCTTGCTTGGCTCTGGTTCGATTTTTGCGCCTTTTGGATTTTCTGATAGCTTCTAAATTCGAAAATTTTAGGTTTAAGGCTACCTTCTAGCTAAACCTCGAGTGCTATTTCGAGGACCTAAATTTGCTCTTTGCCTCCACTGAAATCATTCACATGTGTTCTTACACTGGATTCCTGCTTTCTGACCCTTACATGCTCGTCTAATTCCTTATGTTGCTGTATCCTGAACGTTCTATCCCGTCCTTCCTATGATACCAATGCTCGACGAATCGCCAGTAACCTGCCTCGTACAGAATCTGTCCCGTTATCTGATTGCGATACTACTTAAATTTGGACCCAGAAACAAGCTTCTCTCCCACGACGTATTTATCTTGGAGGTGTTTATCTGGTCTGTCCAATTTCATTGAGACGGTCTCGGATGTCGACTTTTTCTCACAGAAATAGCAATAAGCGACTAATTAGTTCTCTCTCTCGCCAAAGAGGAAGTTCACAACAAGCCGGGAAATCATTCTTGAGCGTTCTGGGCCTTTTCAGACTCACAAAACGCGAAAACCACAACAATAAATTGATACATTACCCTAGCGCAGACTCACGAGCTCACATTGTCGAGAAACAACAGCACCGCAGACTCACAAAATACATTCCAGTCCACAAACTCCCTTTCCAGCAAGCCGGGCCTATGGATACATTCCCTCCAACGCACCCAACACGGACCCTCCCAATCCAATACACCACAATTCTGGATATTCATTACCTCAGTTTACGAGAGCGAATGAGAAAGGGCGCATTGGCATAATCCTGAAACTAGAGAGCGTGCTTGCCGCCTAGGAATACAATCCGAGGAATAAGTGAAAGCAAGGACAGGGACGTTGTCTCTACTCTGGAGAATCGATACGTAGAACGTCCAGTGAGATTGATTAGCGGGTCCACGTGAAGGACTAACATTCTTTACCGTAACAGTTGGCATACGTTGTCTCAAGCAAATGTCTACGATTGTATACCCGTGAACCAGCAAGACCGATGTAGAAAGGAATGATATATGTCGTACCCTTCATCGGACTTGACATAGAATATGAGATGAGCGAAGGAGCAGATGGGTGGAAGCTATAGCTAACAAAATGTATGTACCTTGCATATTCCTACCCTAAAGTGTCGAGGAACAAACGAAACCCCGAACATCAGAGGAAAATTAAAAACAAAGATTATTTCGCTGAGCCGAAAACCGAATGGGTTGAGTGTGTAAAACATGAGACCAGGGGGATACCTCAAAGGAAAGAAAGAAAAGACAAGTCAAAAGGCGACCACGGACCATTTCGAGAAAAGAGGGTATAACCATACGAGATATGCTATTGAATGCGTGTCCAACAGGGTCGTGTAGCAATGAGCAACTTCCGTGTTGATTACTGGTTTAGAACCTTGCATTGTATCAGTGAGGAAAGACACAATGAACAAGATACAACCCACTTCAGGGGAAACGGTTGACAATCGGCGGTTAATAATATTTGCACATCCTACGACCGATAAAACCAGAAAACGAACATAAAGTACCTGACTCACAGTCGGCTAGATTATTGAACAACCTGACCAGAAAGGTAGGAGAGGAACATCGAGCTCTGTCATAGTCTCCATTCCAGATGTGTAAATCCTGAACCGAGGCTTCTGAGTCTGTAGGAGCAGTTGAAGGATTTGGGTACCGATTCCGTGAAAAACAGTCCCCAACACAGTCGTTGAACAAGCCGTAGAGGACATTTGCTGGTACAAAGCCCGAAGCTACAACCAAAAACGCATCAGAATGGTATTTTGGAAAGCAATTTTTTGGCCTATCTTTGCGTGAGTGGACGTGCACGGTCCTTTGCTAATGTGCCATATTCGCTTGATCAAAGTGAAAGGAGAAGGTGGCGGCCTCCGGACCGATGTTCCGCGAAACCGGGTTTGCTTCGCATGACGCGTTTTCGGCTCTCTCTTTTCCTTCCTCTCGCTTCACGTTCCGGTAGCATCCTTTCCAGGTGTTCTTTTCGACTCGTGCATCCATGTTTGATGACGGTTTCAATCTGGTGGAGAATCGTGATGTACATACTTATGCGTTCCCTTGGGATTCATGGTACGCGAGGATCTACCTATTCTCGTGCTACTCCTGCGACCACGTCCAACCTCATATTCTTCTTGCATATATCCTCATCATTACTAGCAACGACGTAGCTACGATGTATCAGCACACGAGCATGATTCGCATTCCGTGGCACTCGCAGCCAAAGTCTCTTAGCATTGGAGTCGGTACTAGCCGAACATTTATAACTAACATCAGCACTTGACGGAAATTCATGACGGAGCTGGATTTGTTGTCGATGTGTGGTGAGTTAGTAGTGGATGTACGTCTCCATATTCTGATCTTCGGTGTCGTGGACTAATACTATTCGAGCAGCGTGGCACACAATGGCTCTCAAAGGCACTGTATGTGTTCCGACATGACACATTTCGCTTGCTGACGCGTGTTCATCACAATAGGCGATGATGGACATGTTAGGAGCGTCGAACACGCATATCAGTGACGGCGAAACGCGTCGGGGAAAGAATGTCAGGTTGCTAATGTCATTCGAAGTTCCAGATCAGTGATCTCAAGACTATGCGTCTCTGCGATTTTGGCGTACTACCAAACGTCCCATGGAGAAATGTTTTGAGGTATGTTATCCAAGTTCATTCTATACATCCTTGGCGAACTGCTCCTTCAGTTCATGAACCTCATTTTGTGCTGTCCATCAAGATGCAGATAATGTGTCAATTGTTTATGCACGGTCTTTCTTGATTTCTTTCATTTCCGCGGTTCTTGTTCCACTTCAGGTACCACTGCTATGCTATAGAACCACGAGAAATTTGTTCCTTTTGTTCTGCGTGTATCCTCCAGTTCGAATCGAACATTCCGCCTGAAAATACAAACACAGAAGAAACTCAAGGCAAGCCCAGGAGCCAGCTCACCTGTCGCGTATTTCCCTCCTTCTGTCAGGCTTGGGTTCTTAGTGGAGCTCAGAATTCGACGTTGTGGTGCTCCTCATGGGTGTCGAGGAAGTAGTGTGTCCATGAGCAAAGTAGACAAGATCCGTAAGTAAATTAATCTTCTAGCCTTCACGGAACGATAACGCGACATTAGATGCTTCCGTTCAGAGCCTACTTCCAATTAACTGACACCTTACAGGACCACAGGCCTACCATGCGGCTCATTAACTGACTTCTGATAAGACTATTGGAATAGTCCTTACCATTAGGCCAGTCCGCGGATCGCCAGGATGGTGGTGAGCAATCGAATCACAAATTGTGTAAGGATGGTCATGAGTAACTGACTTCTACTTCATAGAAGGACGCAAACCCCACCGCTCTCAATAGACCCCGGAGAAGTTTCGAATCCATCGCATCATCTGAGGTGTTACTGAAAGCTATATAACCCACTAAAAAATTGCATTGATCTCTCAGTTGCCTCTCATGCTTAAGAGTCTTTTCATCGTTACGTGCCTCTTCCTCTTAGGCATTCACGCCTTACCCACGGAGCTGTCCAACGCTACTGCAACATGGAATGCTACCGCAACAAAGATAGTGGAGCGTGCCGGACCCACCTTTACGCTTGACTATAGGACCTACCCTCAGTCATCCGAGAACATATGTCAGTCTACCTGCTTATTTCCCTATGTCTAACTCGATGTTAACTTGATCAATAGGTTTTTCCTGGTTCTGCACGTCTGCGCCGCCCCCTCCATTGACTTGATCTCTGATCCCCCCCTCCCGAAATAGGTAACAACGGGCCTCGCTCTGTAGCTCCTGACCGCACCAATGCAGCTGCCCATCGTGCTAGCAACAGTTGTGGTAACGTTAACCCAAACCGGTGCAGCACCCGCGTACGTCTCTTTCTGTCTTGCTATCTTACCCCAAAAACTAATATACATATCAGGTGGGCCATGCCAGTGGGTACCAGTGTGATGAATGGCCTTGGGCAAACTCCAACGCCGGAGGTGCCAATGCCGCTACGAGGTGCATTCCCACTGCGGATAATACTGGTGAGTGTTCGAGTTCCACTTCATGTTCGTGTTCTTCATCTGAGTAAACTACTTTTGTTTCTAGGATCTGGTTCGCAATGGGGGAATTTCATCAATGTACGTCTTATCCGTTGCTGGTAGTATGAGATTGATAATAACCCCCCCGCCCCCCACAATACAGAATAGAGGATCTCAAGCTGTTGGATACGTTTTACAAAATAACGTTGACGTGAGTTTTACCTTCCTTCCTTCCTCCACCTCCCCTTCTCCTCCCCCTCCCTTCTAAAGCTTACTTCTCACCTAGTTTGCCCAAATCGAGATAAGCAATGTCCCAAATACCGCGCAATTCTGCTTGGGAGTGCTTGGAAGTAAGTCGCTGTCGTTGTTTATTCCCCCCGGGTTCTGAATCATTTATTATCCTCTGTACAGCGACTATCACTGCGAATATGTGTAATCAGCTTGCCCGTGGTCAGCCGTATTTGCAAAGGATTGGTTGAGTGTAACTCTTACGAGAGATTTTGATGACTACAAGTTGATACTTGTGCTTGCTTCGGACGTCCGTCAATTTTCCTTCATATCCTCATATAATCCTGGTCGTCTTTTTTGTAATTACGAGTTTGGATTGAATAATAAATAAGAAATGTCTCTTTGTCTTGCTCTAATACGCGACAATTCAAACCTTATAGCAACTAGAAGGTTGTCGGGGTATGAAGATCAAGATCATGGTGTTCTCGAACCTATGCTTTGCCCCGAATCCTGTGTCCGATATCAATCAATATTACAAGGTATGTTTGCAGACGTCCTCCTGACACGTACACCACTGCAGTGAATAGAAAGGAACCATTTATCGTCGCCCCAAGAGCGAAAACTCATCGCTACTCTAAATGGACGGCGGAATTTTTCCTTCCCTTTTGTGGACCTGGGACCAGCTAAATCGATCTGGACGTTGTATCATTTTCATTGCGTTTTCCTAACCTAATACATTGTTTTATTCCGTACCTACCACCAAGGAAGCGTGACCATGTTTCTCGTTGCTCGTCTCTTCCTCGCTCCTCACTATCAAAATGTAGTTCGATGTTCAGGTTGATGGTACCCTTGACGTGTGATGGCTGAGGGTGTGGTTTTGGCTCTGTCCTACCAAGTGAGCGGATAATCCAATGATAAACGGAAAACATCTAAATCACGGTTAGTCTGAGTAGTATTGGATGGTATAAACAGTCAAACACTTCTGTCTTGAGGGAGAGACCGCTACAGAAGACATTCGCTAGTATGACTCCGCTTGCACATTTTCGTCATCCTTTCAGAGAGGAAACAGGTCAGAATGCTATAATGGAGAGTAATGTTTTGGTCTACCTTTGCGTGAGTGGGCGGGCATGTTCCTTTGCTAATACGCCGTATTCGCCTGATCAACATGAAAAGGAGAAGGGGTTCCGGACCGTTGTTCCGGAAAACGGCAAGGCCCGTTCTCGGCTCTTGATTGCTCTCTTGATCTCCACGCCTGCCTTCCTTGGGGCCTATTCAATCTCTGGTAGCCTTTCTCTCCAATCGTTCCATTACCTTGAGATTTGAAATTCGGGCGTGATTTTTGACAACGGCTTCAATACAGACCGATCCGTTGCATGCATGCATGATCCCTTGGGGTTCGACGTGTGCAGTCTATTTTTACGTTGCTTCTCGTTAGCTAACTTCTTCGCACGCGTAGATTCTCTTCCTATGAATTCACATCCTCTTTCTTCTTTTTCTGCTTTTCGTCGGTGTAAATGGACCAGACTCCTCCTCGAGCCAAAATATTACAAATTTTATCCCTCAATTCTTACGGCCTGGCGGGTGGCTCATTGTAGCGACCACCATTCCTTCCTCACAGATTTGTCTTCCTTTATTGGCTTACGCATCCCTCATGATATATTTATTGAATAATTTGCTCCTGCTCGATGCCTTTCACAAATCGGGGTCCATCCAAAACGGCCATCTTCGAGAGTTGTGGAGAAATAACAGTTCTCTATCTCGACCTACCCTCGAGAAGAAAGGATCAGAACCTACCGGCAAGAGAACTGTCGTCAACTCTACCTCAATCCCAGGCCTCCGTTCTGTTCGAATCGCGGTTCCGGAACCTGGCGACGACTGGCGAGCTTGACTCCGAGCAGATGACGAAGAATGATTCCGAGTCCAAGATTTGGCCTATGCAAAACTGGACCTCCAATCTTTGTGGTCGTGCCGTTTGGTAATTCTCCGAGGATACTCCTTTGCTAACCAACAATATCTGATTCTGATACTCAAGTAGCGTCATCCTTGTCTTCGTGAGTCCAAGAATGAACCGGCGCTAGAACTAGAACATGTCAAGCCTCCAACATCACCAGTTTTCATGGATTCTTTGTTTCGGGGTTGAGCGTGACGACGACGACGAGACGGATTGTCAACTTTCCCGGAATTCTCCAATAGGTAGGTAGGTAGTCACCTTCCATGGTTTCATGTAGACACTCACTGAACCGGGTTCTATAGGGCTTCCTGCTACAGACAATGAGACCGGAAAATGCACAAGATCCTACACTCTTTCTGTATCATCTCGATCCCTATCACAAATTGGGAGTCGGCCTATCCAGACCAGCCATCGTGAGACTTGCGTGGAGAAAGAACAGTTCTCCCATCTCGACGTACCCTCGAGAAAAAAGGATCTGACCCTGCCACACAAAAACAAATCACCGTGAACTCCAGCTCTCCGTTCGAATCGCACGATGTCTCTACCCCCCACTAGCAACGACCAGGACTGAATGGTACTTACTTATTGACGTGTTTATGTTTGACAATACATACATGTAAATGGCGACCCCTTGAGGTAATCATAGAATGCAAGTCCAGGTCCAAACAGCACCACTCACATCACTAGGCTAGCGAGCATGTCATGGCCGTGGGTTCAAGAATATCCGAATATTCCCCTTCTCCTCATCACATGGGGGCTACGTCGCCTCTCAGATACTCACAGCGACGCGAAACATCGCAGACACGCCGTGTGGGAGTTTTTTTTTTCCCTTTTTCTATACCGTTCCCGAATCCTCCTCGTTGGTGGGATTGCATCGAGTGGGCATGTTTTTCTCGGCACTCCGTTTTTTTGGTTAGAACCGGCGGCATCATTGCTGTGTCCTAGACTAACGGTTCCCCGAGCTGGAAAGTTCTCTTAGATAAATTTCCACCTGCCGGAAATTAGGTGTTTGACAGGAAGCCTGGAGAATCCTGTTTCTAGTTTCCTGGGAACTGTACCAGTGTGCTTGACTTTCCTGTATTCAGCTGTTGAAGCGAATGCTGATCTAATTATAATAGGATTGGGTGGCGGAGAAGAGAAACACCGGACCCCGGTTCGATCATGATGGGGAAATGCGAACAAAGACGAGACGCAGAAGGAGGAGCTGAGAGAAAAAGACCGTAGAACGCGATAGCAGGAAGAAAGGATAAAGCATACATATCACGGAACGATGAATACAGGACTCGGAACTCTTGCGAATTAATCTACGTGGAATTACTTAGCCTTCTTGTGAAACCAACTTGTTAAGATCTGTAAATCAATCTTCTAGTCTTCATCAGAGATTTCCGTTCGGAGTCTTCTTCCAACTAACTGACACCTTGCATGGACCACGAGCCATGCCAGGTCATTCATTATCCCGCTTCTAAAAATACAATTGGAATAGTCCTTACTAGTCCCAGGACCAATTCAATCACACATATGGCGGGCTGTGGCAAAGATGGATCATGCATAAACTGACTTCTCCTTCCGAGAAGGACGCAAACACCAGCCCGCTCTCAAAAAATCCCCGAACAGGTTTCGAAGTCACCGGAGGGTCTTGAAAAGCTATATAAAACACTAAAATCTTGCACGGATCCCCCAGTCGCCTCTCATGCTTAAGAGTCTCTTCATCGTTACTTGCCTCCTCATCTTAGGCGTCCACGCCTTACCTGCGGAACTGTCCAACGCTACGGCGACATGGAACGTTACCGCAACAAAGATAGTGGAACGCGCTGGACCTACCTTCACACTTAACTATCTGACCTACCCTGAATCGTCCGAGAACATCTGTCAGTCTGCTTCTTTGTTTACTCAAACTCGATATTAACTTGATCAACAGGCTATTCCTGGTTCTGTGCGTCCGCCCCTCTCATCCCCTCCCCCCTGCTATTCACTTCACCTCCGCTTGACAGGTAACAACGGGCCTCGCTCTGTAGCTCCTGCCCGCCCCAGCGCCTCTGCTCATCGTGCCAGCAACAGTTGTGGTAACGTTAACCCCAACCGGTGCAGCGTCCGTGTATGTACCTTTCTGTCTCGTTATCTTACGTGGAAAACTAATATAGATACATTTATCAGGCGGGTCATCTCCCCGGGTTCCAGTGCGATGAATGGCCTTGGGCAAACTCCAATGCCGGAGGTGCCAGTGCCGCTACTAGGTGCATTCCCACTGCGGATAATACCGGTGAGTTTCCGAGTCCCTTTGTGTTCGTGTCTTTAACCTATCTCTTTGGTTTCTAGGATCTGGTGCGCAATGGGGTAATTTCATCAATGTTCGTCTCCGTTTCTGGTCATGGTACTCCTACGAGACTGGTAATAACCCCTCCCGTACAGAACAGAGGCTCTCAGGCTGTTGGATACGTTTTACAAGATAATGTTGATGTGAGTTTATTCTTCCTCCCTGTTCAAGTCGTTCTTCCCTTCTAAAGCTCGCCTAGTTTGCGGAAATCCAGATTAGCAATGTCCCAATAACTGCACAGTTCTGTTTGGGAGTGCGTGGAAGTAAGTCGCTGTCGTTCTGTATTCCCCTCCAGGTCCGACTCATTCAATTATTCTCGGCACAGCGACTATCACTCCGGCGATGTGTAACTCCGTTGCTAGTGGTCAGCCATTTTTGCAAAGGATTGGTTGAGCATAACTCCTGTGATTACCACAATTTGATACTTGCGCTGCTTCGGATATCTAGCGCCAATTTTCGTTCTTACCCTCTTATAAACCTACACATCTCTGACGTATCGACGAATATGGATTGAATATAAATAAGAATGTTTTGTTGAATTGAACTAACACGCGATTATGCAAACCTTATAGGAACAGGAGCAGCGTAACGCTACGCAGAAAATATTATATCTCCGTAATACAGCGAAAATATAAGCGCATCCCACTCTTCGATCCTTGCTAATACCAGTTAGGTACCATCTAATCTCCAGTCTAAGCGAAGAATTGAGAATTCCACCGTGTTCATATGACAGATCCACAGTAAAAGAATCCATAGAGAATTTGCGGTGTATCGGCTGTCGTGACGAGCTTAACTAATAAGAATCTATGAGTTACAACGTTGAACATCTCATGTGTGCTTTTGACTTATGTCTCCAATTCGTTTGGACAGTAGGGTCGTAATCGAGCTATGGAGTCGAAGTCAAACAAGGTATCACTTTATACCTGTCAGGTCGATTTCACCATTGGTCTCCCAAAGCATTGAAGGAAAACAAAGGGGATGAACTCACATGATATCTGGAGAAACTCCTTCACCGGGCTGTGTGTTCATATCTTTAATGCGTGCTTCTCGGAAGAAAGCACAACGCTCGCTTTGAGGGGTTTGCGTGAAGGTAAACACGACTCTCTACCTATCCTAAGGTGTGATCTCAAGGAAAGGGTTCTTTGTGTGGTATCTTGTATTGTAGAACACACCAACGAGAAGCTGTTCATACAGTATGCTGATATTTGAATACATGCTGCAGGGATATTGGTGACCCAGAGATATTTTGGCGACAGTGTCCTAATACGTGCAAGAAACCATGACGTGTGAGGTCGGATAGCATGGACAGAGAGTCTGTCAGTATCGTCTACGAGGCAGCTAGCTGGGAATCCGGCTAGGATAGGGACGGAAGGAAAGATGAGATAGAACGTTCAGGATATCACCAGATCGGAATGAGAATGAAAGAAAGCGAGAAGCCAGTGTAAAAGACCATGCACAATGAGCAACGCTCGAAGGTCGTAGGAGGCTTTCCAACCAAGGCTGTTGGAATTATTGCAGTGGGAGGCTTGCAGTAGGTATAATACTGAATTGTTAGCTACTAGAGCTCCTAATGAGCTCCTTATATACTATGAAATGTATCTAGAATATTCTACCAAAGTAACTAAATATATCTAAGTATCGTGACAAATGAGTAAGCCGAAGCTTCGGGAATCTTCTGGCATAAGCTTGAAGTTGCAAATCCCAACAAAGGCCCTTGTCAAATTTCAGAATACGTTAGGAAATCTAAAGGCACAGAAATCCAGGCAAGAAACATCGCGAGAGTCCGGTACGAACCCCGCCGTGCCGATTCGGCAAGCAAGATTGGTCATCAGCCCCTAATTGATGATGTCAGCCAATTCCTTCCTTTTTGCTCCTGCCCATGAGCTATTCTAGTCCTCCTCGTAAACGCGTCAAGCTCGATCCGCCATCGCTGCCACCAGAAATCCAAGATAAAGAGGAAGAAAACTGCAGCATATGTCTACAAGCCCTCGTTGAGCTTCGACTGTCTTGTTGTTTGGACTGGTGAGGGATTTTCTTTTCGCGTGTATCCAGGATAGTGATGTATGATTTAGAGCAATCGAGGAAGTGTCCATTGTGTACTCAGACGATTGGGGAGTACCTTATCCATCGGATCCGGTCGCGGTACGACTATCAGAAGCATTATTTGGCGCCTCTGTCACAGCCTGGACTGTTGCCATTACGCGCTGCACTGCAACGGGAACCCGATGTGCGTAGACGAAGGCGTAGGAGGGAGTGGGGTAGACGAGACCAGGAAGAGGCGGATAAGCTGGAGCGTTCGATAGAGAAACGGCGGTGTGTGTACGAGCACGGGCTGTACGCGAAGGCGCGTCGAATATCTTTACATTTATGCTTGTGCCGTCTAACATCTTCTTAGCATGTAGCCTCAAATACGTATACAAAGTACCGGCCATACCCCACCCCGGCACAGTTCGCTGCGAGCCAAGAGATGGTGAGCAAGACGACAATGTTTCTGAGGCGCGAGTTGAGAGTTTGGGATGATCTAGACGTCGAGGTGCGGTTTTTACCTTCATTCCTTGCGTATGGACGACTGACGAGGATCATAGTTCTTCACGACGTTCACAATATCATTCATGAAGTCAATTGATATACGCTCAGAGTCGGCTGTGAAGCTACTGGCGGAATTTTTGGACATTGATACTGGTGGAAGGGTTATGGCAGAGCATTTTTCTCATGGTGCGTAGCCGTCACTCCCTGCTAAGTATTCTTAACTGAAGCGAGTAGAGGTCTACTCGTATGTGCGATCGCCGTTCAAGGACTTGTTCGTATATGACTCTGCTGTTCAAGTGAGTGACCCTTACACTGCCCATATATCTCTCTGTATTCACAGCTGCGTCACCAGTATGACGTGCCTCATGTGAGCTCGCCACCAAGACCAAGACCAAGACGATGGCGAGACTCAGATGAACAGCGTCGTCAGAGCTCTAGGTCCAGATCCAGGTCGCCGACTCCCTGCAATCACCTTGCGCCGTCATCTCCTCGAGATTCCAGATGGCACGAAGAGGACATCTCGCCTGTCCGTTCGATATCCTGGTCACCGTCAGGTCGACATCATCCCAGTGCAAGCACAACCTCGTCTCCTTCTCTAACTCGAGCGACTATACCCGATGATGTAGACACACCTGCCTCGATTACCGATATCATTGAGCCTCCCAGACCTGCCGATGTGAAGGGGAAATCAAGAGCTAGCGACGAACCCCTTGGTGATACCCCGAGTATTGTTGGACTTCAACCCGATGGGAAGAGAAAGTCTAGAGAAGATACCCCTCGTCTCTCCCCGGCACCTTCCAGCGTACCCGAAACCACACACACGCAGTCCAAGAAGCCCGTCCGTACTGTCCTAGACTCTTTACGTGCACATCTGGGTGCGACTTTGGTATCATCGTCGTCGAGTCCAACATTGCTTAGTCGGCTATCATCACGAAATGAGGATAAGACAGGGGTGAATAACTCTTCTGATACACCCGACTCTCGATCTTCGAGCGACCAGGATCAGTCCTCAGTGGAAAAGAAGGAGGACTTGCTGACGCAGGGCCGGGCGCGTTTATTGGGGAAGTTACTGGAGGAGAGGAGGCATGCATCTCGACGAGTAAACCCTGTCGATGATGTGGAACGCCATCTGAGGACTCGAGCTTTGGTGAGGGTCCGACTTGCAGCTGAGAACCGGGCGAGGGAGTAATTGTCTTGCTCTCTCGTCGTGCATGGAGATGGGAAACTGCAGAGCTTCGTCTTCCACATTGTGAACGGATACGATGCTTTGCGGAATCAGATCTGCCACTGCTGGGGATGTTTATGTCGTTGGGAGATAGATTGCGCGTTTTTGTGCCAATGTAGATGAATCAGGTTGATTTGTCAGATGTGCTACATTTCCTTTGCATGTTATTTCTTGTGCAAGGCGCCCCTTTGAGTGGGTAATTCGGTTATATTAGCGCAGTTGCCAACTGGAATGAAGAGGCGCGGCGGTGATGATCTTGACGTTCTTTTCGTATTCAACGTCAACCACGAAGCCTCCCGACGTATAGGATAAACTACCGTTGCATCCCGCATACTTTCTCCTGCACCCTCTGAACATGGATTTGGGTGTGAGTCCTTGGCCAGGCTGTTTGTTCGGAAGATTACGAAGATGGAGGCTGACCGTCAGTACAGAAGAAGGATGACTATCAACGTCTTGTCATCGTCGGTCGCTATTTCTTCCTTCATTGTTCGTGTGCTTCGTCGAGGTGGCTTGGTATAATGACCATGTCTTGCCTCTTCACTGTCATCTTTGACGCCATCTCTTCCTCTTTGTTTGTTAAAGGCTGCTGAGAGTTAGTCGCTAAGTTTGGCATTAAGATTACTTAAAAACTGAGATAGAAGGCGTTAAAATGAGGTGATGAATCAGGCAGCATCAGGCTTTACTTGAGACTCGCAACCTTCGTCTTAGAAGCTAGCTCTATGATAAGATCTCATTACATACTTTGGATGTATCGTCGCCGTCGGACACGAGACAATTCTATAGTAAACATTTAATCAGAAAACTGCACTATTTCTATGTATATGGAACCGACAAGGTATCGACTTTGATTTCTATCTTTCCAATTGTTTAAATCACTGTCATCTCCAGGATGACAATCATGCGCAGCTCATACCACTTGGACCATCTTCTCCGGACCTATGATCATCACTTCATCATTATCTACACGCGTTTCACCACCTTCCGTTTCTGATCTCGGCAAGGGCTGTAAAGGCCGTGAATCTATATTATCACTCAGGGGACCCGTATCAGTGTCCTTAGTAGACACAACACGAAGAAGCATTAATGTCGGCGCAATCCCCTGCACAACATCCCTGTGAGTTTTATTTCTGAGCAAAGCAATTTCACACTTACAGTAACTGATTGAAGCACTGCTTGTGGATACGAGCTATATGGACTGTTCATCGCATCGAACACGATGAAAATAGCCTGGACAAAGATATACAGTGCGGATGATTCTACCAAGATCTCTATGACACGGTAGTATAGGTCTGGCGCATAGTGTGGAGAGTTCTTAGTCTTGATCGCCTTAGCCAGTCGGTACACTATGAGCGTGGTACATATGATCGTTGCTGGGAGTGCCATAACGTAATAAGCTAATCCCCAGTTGGTGGAAGTTGTTTTCGGATGTCCTTGTGAATCAAACATCGGTTCCCGAAGTTGAAGAAGGCACGAAATGCCAAAGACTTGGATCAGTAAGCGACTAGAGATCATCCAGGCTAGAATCTAAGGGACTTACTCAATCCGCCTATCGTGCATAAGCAAGGAAGGACGATGATCCTCCAGTTCTTTCCCCAGATAATCCAGCACCTCCAAATCTAATATGAATTTAAATTTATCACCAGCCTTCTGCAGAAATGCTGGCAGGAAACGTACGATGACACCATCCGCAACAAATATATTCATGCCTGCTGCGATATCGTTGATCATCATGGCCCACACAGGGGTAACAGTGGTTACCCAGTCTGCAAGGGCCAAGTACCCTGTTTCTTCTGTCTGTCCCTTCGTTATGATTGCCCGCCTGGTATGGAACCACACCGTGGCCAAGTGGATCGTCGCCATGATGTACATGAACACTGAGATACCCACGAGAACCTTCACGGGCCACCTATGAGTGGTTATGTTCGACACTATGCAAGGGACTTTTTTTCAGATTCAATGGTGTAGGCTAGGATCAACTACGCACGAATTTGCCATATTACGACGGCAAGCAATGCTGTGTACATTCCTAAGTCCCAGTAAATTTTGGACGACTGTGGTTTATGATATACTCGTACCATGGGTTAAGGACTCGATGATACCGTCGTTGACCCAGAGGTCAGCATAATGTACTGGGATAGATGCAAAGTCAGGATCAATCTGAGACATAGGATGGCAAGGAGGAAAGTGCCGACGTTTATTAGTTCAGAGCTGATATATTTTAGTAGCATTGTTCCCAGTCTGAGGATTGAAATGCTGTTATTGGCATACCATCCACCATTACAACGCTAATTCCGGTGGGCGGTGTTCATGGGGCTCCATCAAATGTGTCAGTTTAAGCTCTCTTACTGGCGCTTTTTGGGCGCAATGCGTCAGCCACAGTATACGTATCTCGGACTTCCATTGTTCCGATGTAAGCTGGGAGTCTGAACAGGTTTGGGTAGCGTGCGGTTAGGGATTTGATGTACCCGTTAATGGATTTAGTATCCTTCCGAGTTCAAACCCACAGCCATGGCACAGGCGATCATGATTCATCATTTCTGCTTTGGATTACGGTAAGGGATTCCATTGATACGGATAAAGCGGCTGTCCCGCTGCGTTGAAGTTTGAGTTCAAGCTGATTTGCATAGAAATTGAACGTCATCGGATCTCAACTTGGCTCTCCTGTAGTGCTTTTGCCTCTCTTCCACCATCCAAAGTTCGTGACTATAGCCGTTTTATAATTCCTCTCAGCCGGAGCACTCCATATCGTGAGACCAGACCATACGTCGCAGGGAATAAGGTAACAACCATCGTGGATTTTCTGGGACTGACGGACCGTGAAGTGACTAATTGACTATTAACGTCTTTCTAGATGCCGTCTTTGGATGATATTTCTTTATTCATTGTTCGTGTGCTTTGTCGATGGGACTTGGTATAATGACGGTGTCTTGCCTCTTTGTTGTCATCTTTGACGCCATCTCTTCCTCTTTGCTTGTTGAAGGGTGCTGAGAGTCAGTCGCTAAGTTTGGCGTTAAGATTACTTAAAAACTGAGATAGAAGGCGTTAAAATGAAGTGACGAATCAGGTAGCATCAGGCTTTACTTGAGACTCGCGACCTTCGTCCTAGAAGCTAGCTATATGATAAGATCTCACTACGTGCTTCTCGTATGTAACGTCGCAGTCGGGCACGAGACAATTCTGTAGTAAACATTTACTCAGAAAACTGCACTATTTCTATGTATATGGAACCGACAAGGTATGAACTTTGATTTGCATCTTTACAATTATTTAAATCACTATCATCTCCAGGATGACAATCATGCACAGCTCATACCACTTGGACCGTCTTTTCCGGACCAATGATCATCACATCATCATTATCTACACGCGTTTCACCACCTTCCGTTTGTGATCTCGGCCAGCGCTGTAAAGGCCGCGAATCCATATCATCGCTTGGGGGACCGGTATCTGTGTTCCTAGATACGACACGAAGAAGTATCAATGCTGGCGCGATTCCCTATTTCAAATCCCAGTAAGTGTTTTATCTGTCAGCAAAACAATCTCAAACTCACAATGACAGACTCAAGCACCGCTGCTGGATACCTACTATATGGACTATTTGTCGCTTCGAACACGATGAAGACCACAAGGATAACAAGATACAGTCCGGACGATTCTACCAACATCTCTATGATGTTGTTATATGTGTTCGGCATGAAGCATGGGGAATTCCTAGTCTTGCTAGCCTTAGCCAGACGGTACATGATGAGCGTGGTACACATGGATGTTGTGGGCAGTCCCATAATGTAAAACGCCATTGACCAGTCGATGGAGTCCCCCTTCGATGCACTGGTTGGCAAATAGTTCAATGGTGCCAGCTGCTGAAGGATGCTTAAAATGCCAAACACTTGGATCGCTGAGTGATTCAAGTCTTCCAGGCTAGAGTCTGGAGACTTACATGTTGCGCATAGGGTGCATATACAAGGAAGAATGACGATCCTCCAGTTCCTTTCCCAGATAATCCAGCACCTCCAAATCTAATACAAATTTCAATTCAGAACCGTGGGTCTCCGGAAATTATTGCAGGAGACATACAGTGATACACTCCGAGATCAGCGCATTGACGTTTCCAACGATGTTGTTGATCATCAAGGCCCATATAGGGCTTCCAGTAGTCAGCCAGCCCATGAGAGCGTGGTACCTCGTTTCTTCTGTCTCTCCATACATTATGAATGCCCGCCTGATATAAAACCATCGCACGGCAACGTGCAACGTTGCCATGATGTACATGAACCCCGAGATTCCGGCCAGGATCTTCACCTGCCGCCTATAGATAGTCGTGCTCAACACTACGGGAGGAACTTCAAGTTCGATTTTGTTGGCTAGGATCAACTACTCACGGATTCGCAATAGTGCGATGGCAAGCAAGGCTGTGTACATGCCTGGCACATGGTAAGCTGCTGGATCATTGATTTAAACTACAAATCTTACCGTGAGTTAGGGACTCAATGATAACTTCGTTTAACCATGAATCAGAGAACTGCCTCGCGATTATTTGTATAGATGAAAAGTTGGGATTGATTTGAGACATTGTATGGAAGGTTAACAGCTACCTGAAGCTGATTAGTGAGGAGGAAGGTGTGTGTTAGATTCGTGTGGAGACTGGACATTTATTAGTGCGGAGCTGACATATTTTAGTCACATTGCTCTGAGTGAGACTCCATCAAAGGTGTCAGTTTGAGCTCTTGTAGTGGCGCATCTTGGACGCATCGCATCAACCACAATGTAGTATGTACATATCTCAGACTTCGTTTGACTGATGTTGTTCTGAGTATGTTTGGGTGGTGCATGGTTCGGAGTTTGATAGCACATAGGAATATACCTGTTGATGGATTCGGTATCCTTTCAACGAGTTCAAACTCACAGCCATGGCACAGGCGAGATGAGAAGAGTGGAAAGATTCGAACGTTCATTCCCTGGAGGAATGCTTCAGGAGGTCTAGACAGCATCTGTGAGCGCAAATGGACGTTGCTATTAATGTGACCAAGCCATCCTTTATATTCCTCAGATCCGAGATCCCTATTGCGGTGCACCGGTCAGTAAGTCATAGCATTCACAGAAAGTGATATTCTCAGAGTCACTGCCGAATGAATTTATGATTCTTGGAAATGCACTTGTATATGCTGTTCGAGTCGAGTCCATGACTGGTGGCCGGAACAACATTCCTCTTCAAATCACCCTTTCGAACGCGTTATATTTATCCTTTCGGTTTTGGATTACAGTGACGGGTTCCGTTGATATGGGTTAAGTCGCTGTCCCGCTGCATTGAAGTTCGATATATCAAGATGAGTTCAAGCTGAATTGCATAGAAAATTGAACGTCATCAGATCTCAACTTGATTCCCCCGATTCCGCCGGAAATCGGCAATAGAGATGTGTCAGCACGGGGGTCTTCCTCGAACAACGCATCAAGCTGAAGCCACCCTCACCATTACTAGAGAACCAAGACAAAGAGAAAGATCACTGCGACATATGCCTACAGGTCCGGGTATATCGGACTGTCATCCCTCTTCGCTCGCATGAGTCTTGTCCCGTCGTCTAGATGGGTTCAAGACTTTTTCGCATACAAAGTTTGGCTGATCATGGATCTTTAAAATTAGAGCTATCAAGAAGAGCTCAGACGATCAGAGAGTACTGGATTCATCTGATCCGCTCGAGCCATCATTATCAAAAGGACAGTTTGGCGCTTCTTTTAAAGCTAGGATTACTTCTGTTACATGCTGCGCTGCTTCAGGAACCCGAGGTACGAAGGGACAGGGAAGAATGGGGTAGCGAGACCAGATTGAGGCAGATAAGATAGACCGGTCGATAGAGAAACAGCATTAAGTGTACAGGTAAGATAAATCGTGTTATCTTCGTTCAGATCAAAGTCTGTAACATCGACTGAAACACTGGTCCCTGTCATGAGCTCGCTCCTCGATGAACTCCGAGGTCCGCAATCTTACTAGCTTGCACTCGTGGAAGATGGTCTCGCACGTGGTGGCGGCGTGGGTTCGGTATAGATGTACCGAGGAGAATGGCATGGCTACGGATGTTGCAGTCTTGAGCTGAGAGAGGGAGAGAAACGAGTATTATTAGTAAAGGGGAGAAAGGAGAGAGAAGGAGACATACCTGCAGCCTTAGTTAAGCCGTTTGTCAGATATTTCATGCGCATATATGCTGCTTTGTTAGGCGAGGCGATCACCACCGCTGACATGACAATGCTCCCGCACTTGAAGGGGCACCTTATAGAGGTGATAGGCGTGATGAGCCGATACTTTTTCTCCATACAGGTAATTGGCTCCTGTACGAGCATATACTTCCCCTCATCTATTCAAAATGTAAGACTTGGGTTGGTAGGAGAGCCCGCAGACTGACCTTCGACATTGGCATAACAATTGACTTGTCCAAAATGATTTATGATGGTCTTCATGAGGATTGTGACGGATTCCTCAACGCTTCTGTCGGTGGGGGATGAGGACGCCAAAGTCGGGGTTCTCGGGGATGATTTTGCACTAGAGGGTGGCAGCGCAGTGTGGGTCGGGTGTGTCTCCAGTGAACGAGAGTTGGCAGACGATGAATTCGGCGAAGGAGGGGGTGGTTTTTTAGCGGAACCTCCTCGGCGCCAGTGATGAGGACAATGCTGAATGTGTGGAGGTTCACTATGACTGGGGTGTGAAGTCCGTGAACTGGGAGAGCATTAAGCCAAAGAGGCATAGAGAGCACTCGGAAACATACCTTGTAACATTCCTCAGTGGAAAGATCGATAGTACACCGAATCCGCAGACTTGACTCCAAAACATATTCCTTCCCCGACGTGCTTCGCCGATACTTGTACGCGTGTTTGATGCTCCTAAAATTTCCGTCCCAGTCTCCTACGATAACCACGCATTAGCAAGCGAGATGTGTCATGCCGAGCACATAAGGTGTCGTTAAGAGCTGGGAGCGCCACACTGCACGAAGATCATTAGTCCCTCCACACCAATACTCAGAATGCAGAGACGTACTTCCAAAGATACTTCTGTGCACTACTAATCCGTTATACACTGACGATAGATCGTGATCCTCCCTGACTCGCGATCCAGTGCTGACGTTGGTTGCAACACTTTGGTTGATACCGACTCTACTGGTAGAAGGTATTTATAGCGGGTACCACGGAAGTGGAGGTTGCGTACTGACGCATCCTAGTCACGTAGTCGGCGCTTAGCAAGCTAGCAATGACGAGGATGTATGCGAGCAGAGTTTGAGAGTAGATGTGGGTCACAGAGTTATCGGGGAGTATGCTGGTTCTGTTAACCGTCTGGACTCCATTCGCTCGCCGGAACGTTTTAGCGCAATTGGTGAGGCTGGGGTAGTGAGAGGGAGGAGAATCTGCACGCGCGAGAAGAAATTAGCTCACGAGAAGCGAAGTAAAAATATACTGTGGACCTTGAACTCCAAGAAAACGCACATCCATGTCACAGGTCTCGACCCTTCTTGAAGTCAATGTCAAGCATTGCTAAAGTAGTAAAGAAACGAAGTAATTGGTGAAGAGGGCAGAGACTGAATAGCGATGTACGGTAGAAGCGAGAGGAAGGATCGCGGTGAGATGATGGGGAACAGAGGAGGAAGCGATCAAGAGCCGAGAACGGGCTTTGCTGAACACCAAGCATTCCCGGGCCATTTCTGGCAATTCCAAGGGAACTGAACGACTGAAAAGAAAGGCGAGTAGACTAAGAGGAAGGAAGGTGTGGAGATGATCGGGACGAAGCAGAATAGAGCCTTGCTAAACAAATCCGGTTTTCCGGAACAATGGTCCGGAGCTCCCGTCTAGGGCTTCGCACCGTACGGTATACGGTATACGGCCATCAGCTCCAATCCGTTGACAGCATATGGTCTGTATGAGTAGGTCCGTCACGGCCGTGTGTACGGCCATATGCAAAGAGCTGGACTTGGTATGTCAGACTAGCATAAAACTTTACTATATGATCATTAAAACTTACCTAGCTTGTTTTCTGACACACTTCAACGTCGTCGCCCTCGTTGGAGAACCGGTTCTCACTATAAAAAAATGCCCCTAACAGGTGTACAATTACATCATCAGTCCCAAGTATGCAAGAACACCTGTAAATTAGTCTACAATGGCCTGGAAATAAATGATAATGAAAGGTATTACCTTGTACTTGGCTTTTGAGCCCCGAGGGATAGCTGAATTTGCTCTTCAAGCAATTCACTGCTACATACCGTACACATGGCCATCAACGGCCATCAATATGGGTGCTTCTCAAGCCCTCGACGGTACGGTTATGGTACCTGTATGACAGCACCCGTACAACCATATTATATGGTGACGGCGCGAAGCCCTACTCCCGTCTTCCATGCCTGCCGAGTACTTGAATGATGAATCCCTGTAACAAACCCATTCCTCAGCGAGACAATGAGATCCACAATTTTGCCTGCCTGTACTCATTGACAATAACCTCGTGTGTGGGGGTGGGATGGGTTCAGCGTAGACACAACCGGGGAGGATGATATTGATGTGAGGAGTGGTCTTGAGCTGGTGGGAGAGAAAGGATTATTAGGGAAGGGCAGGGAGGAAAGATAAGGACATGTATCTGCAGATTTAGTTAAACTGCTCATCGCATATTTCGCGTGCATATATGCACCTCCTATCTAAATGTTGGGTAAAGCGATGATCATCGCAGCCAGCACTATGAAGCCCCCACTGTAAAGGATCTGCCACAGGACGGGTCTTCAACCCAAGATTGAGTATGATTCGGGCATATATTGTCAAAGAAGATAGAGTCAAAGACATGACATGGTGGTAGAAATCCTAGATAAAGTTGTGAAAAAGGCCAAAAAACAGCGTATACATAGTCGTCCGAAGGAATAGGTAAACAAAGCTAAATGAATGATGTGATGCAATCATGAGCCTATAGAAATTTGCATCCCTTATGCCCGCGTTGCTCAGCATGTTTGGGAGAGATGATTGGCATCATGAATAATTCGTGTTTCTCCATGACCTTAATCTGATCCTGTACGAGCTGGTATTCATGTACTGAATAACGAGCTAGTCTTCGGTAGTGATGTGCTAGCTCAGGCTCAAGCCCAGTGACATGTGCGCAATGCATTCATACATGTAATTTTGCGAATCCTGTGAAGCCAAACGTGTGTCAATCCACTAAGTAATATTAGAGTGCATACCTGGCATGGAGCGACACCTGTTGAGGCAGGAGCAGCATATAATAAAATAATCCGAGTGGAGCACATGGCTTAGACTTAGAGCGGCACACTGGTGTCATTTAAGTGTGAAGTCTCAGTGCCCTGACTCACACCCTATGCATCCCTCAGCAGCGTCTCACTCAAATAAAATACACTGAAAAGATAATATAATTACAGAGCTTCGCACAACATTGATCTATGATGCGCGAACCCTGCCGATCCGGCAATCACTGAGAGACATCATTCAGAACCGAGGACCACCCAGTCCGAGCCTCCTGAGAGGGCTTCGGCCGACACGAGAGAAACCCTGTACCCAGAATAAAATATTGAACTAAGAAAAGGTTGTGCAGCAACCAAATAAAAATACCAACTCACTAGCGATGTGCACGACAGAGGAATTAAAAACAAGGAGCCAATTAGGAGAAATATTCCACATGGTGTGGCAACTCTAGACCTTGCCAAGAAGAAAGAGCAGCGTGTTATCGAGCCCTAACTCGGATGACTGACTCAGGATATTAATTAGTGACCATGCAGTTGACGTGTCACGGAGAGGAAATGGCTCCGGGGTGAGGCGTATCTATTCTTGATTATTTCTATTTATACATTTAGCTGTAAATAAAAGCGCGGTAGTTAGGAGTAGGTAGCAAGCTTTCGGACCCCCGCAGTTGTGACATGAAGCAGAGAGCCTAGTGTGCAACTAAAGGACTTGTGTTTATAGCTTCGAGCAAGAGAATATTATTGGATCTAGAATTATTTTGAGACGCTTGAGAGGTCGTGAGGCACGCCTTGCTTGCGCGCGATGCCTAGCTTGATTCTGGACAGTAATTGATTGCACTCAACTCGGAGAAATATTGTATTGTGATAACTTGAATGTGCATTTGTGTTTACGGAATGTGTTTGTGAATTCTGAGTTGTTGCAAGTGGCAGAGGTTTGAACCCTTTGGCTTGTCAATGCTCTTTGAGGGTTTTTTTTGTTTATTCCCAAGTGGCATAGGTTCAAACCCTGTGGCTTGTGGATGTGTTTCTGTGTTTCTGTGTCTCTGGATTGCATAGGTTTGAACCCCATGGATCTATGAAGGGTTTCTGAAGGGTTGTCTGCTTAGAGCACAAAACTTTAAGTTGTGTGTAGTTTGTTTGATGGGTTGTGGCCATCTGTGTGTTGTGCGCAACGTCAATTGAGGGTTGTACATTCTTGTGGGATGTTTGTGGGCTTGTGAAATATTACTTTTGCCTCGAGGCTGAGTGATACATATCGCTCACCTCCTGTCTTAAAAGCATTTGGACTTAGAGAATTCTTTTGAGCTAGTGCGCTATTATATCTTGAAGAGCGCAAGACATCTTTTAAGTCTATTGTTATTGTGTGCTTGTATCGCACATCTCCCCCGAACTACTGAGATTCTGTGTGTGTGTGAGTGTGAGAGTGGGTGTGTTTAGTGTGTCTACGCTATCGCATTTTGAGCTTGGCACGCACAGAGCCTCTTCACCGGGCCAGCCGTGAGCCAGCCCTCTGAAAGCCTAAGCCTTGCCAGGCTGTATCAACGGCTTTGGATGGCTCAAGGCTCAGCTTGGTACTTTGATGTTAGCCACTAACTCTTATCGACTTAGATCAACCAAGGATCGCCACTCGCACTTTGGTGGTCGATGCTCAAGGAGGTCAAAGGCGAAGGACGGAGTCAGGAGCGAACTTAGATAGTCGCGAAACAAGTGAGCTTTGAGTTAGGTAGATTAAACCTTAGCCAAAGCTGGGGTTTAGACCAGCTGAGGCATCACTTAAATACACGATGACTAGCTAAAAATAGTACTGTGGGAACTGTCCGATAGGCATCGCATCATAGCGTAATCATGAATGCATAAGAAAAGGAAAAAAGGAAAAGAAAAATGAATAAACTGTAACATTACCCCCTCTTCAAGACTCGTTCGTCCTGAACGAGCTTGCGCTCTCCTCCGCTGTGTCGGTATCTGTTTCATAGGTAAGGGAGTCATCGTCGTTGGCTTCTGAGTCGAAGTCCCAGTTTTCATACACCCGCTGTAAGTTTTCGAGGTCGAGTTCAGAGTCTTCGTCATTCGTGCTTGTCTCAATGAGCGGTATTCCATTTGCCTCTTCCTCTGTCAGTTCTGGTAATTGGATTGATGACTGGGTGCTCGAGTGTCACGGATTCGTGCACTCGGAGGAAAAAACAGTCTCGATGTCCGTGGCGCAAGGAGTATCTGGTTGGTGGTAAGGCGCCTTGGCGGTGGGCGGTATCTTATCATCCACTCCGACCATTTTGCCATATTTGTTGATTTCCCAACGGATCCTCTGGATCTTTGCCTCGTATTCGTTGACCAACTCCTCTGCGTTAGCCATGTTGGATCGTTTTACCCAGGAGTTTTCCTCCATCGGGTAGCCTTTCCATTTAATGAGGTACTTGGTTATCGTTCGACGAGTTCGTCCGCGGCCGACTACTTTATCTCTTTGCTCGACAATTTCCTTGATCTCATATTCTTCTTCATCGTCAATTAGCTCTGGGGGTGGCCTCTCAGGGCATGGCTGGTTGGGGAATGCGGGTGCGACGTATGGGGTTAGAAGGGATTCGTTGAATCTATTATGAATCTTCCAGCCCGTCGGCAGTTTCAACTCGTAGGCGGACGCTCCCTTTTTGGAAAGGATAGTGAAGGGGCCTATGCGACGGTCCCCGAGCTTCTTGGTAGGTCATGGGAGATTAAGGTTGGTCGTATCGAGCCACACCTTGTCTCCCGGTTTGTACTCGACCGCTG